CACGCACACACACACAAACACAACAAACACACACATAAACATACAAACACACACACTGACACACACGCACAAACACACACACACAAACACACTCACACACAAACATACACACACAAGAACACAGCCACACAAACACAAACGCACACAAACACGCACACACAAACACACACTCAAACACACACACTGACACACACACACACACACACATACAAACACACACACACACAAACACACGCACACACAAACACACACACATACGTGTGCACTCACTTGAGAAGACACATCTAGGTTTCTGAAAAATGTAAAAAAGAAAAGAAAAGAAAAAGAAACAACGATAGCAAATCTGTCGAATGCAACGTAAACGAACAAACAGTTTCTGAAGGAAATCACATTAAATTTTCGCGGGTTAAAGTCGTCTAACTAGACAAGTGTAACCGAAGCATTTGAAATGGTAATATTAGCCATATCCTTATGTGGAAGCAATCAGTATTCATTGAACGAGCAGCAGGTGCTACTCGAGCGACGCCTTTCATCGCTCCCTAGCCATCCGGTTGGAATGAATGTGTAGTATCTGCTCTCATCTCTAATTAGCCGCTTCCATATACGGAAACATACTGCATTTATTGACCGAGCAGCCAGTGCTTCTCGATTTAAGTTTTTCTTCACTCCCTAGTCATCGAGCTGTGATGAATGTCTAGTATCTGTTCTCATTTTAGCCATTTCCTAATAAGGAAACATTCTACATTCATTACCCAAGCTACTAACGCTTTGCTTTACTCCCTAGCCATCTGGCTGTTATCAAAGAGTAGTATCTTTTTTTTAAGCATGTCACCCTAAGCAAGGCGGGAGTGCCACTCACCCTCAAGGGATTACAGAGAGGGAGAGCAAGAGTAAAGAGGGGTGTTTGGGAAAGGATAAAGAGAAGAACTGGGATCAAGATCATCAGAAGATATCGATTGACATTACACTTGAATATTTGAAGATTATAGCTACCAGGGAAGCAAGTAAGAGGAAGGGAGTTCCACTGACGGGAAGTGTGAGATAAGAAGCTATTGGAGTAGAAGAGGCGGTTACATTTAACCGTTTCGACAGTGAAACGGTGGGACCGAGATGCCAACCTAGTAGCACGCTTAAATTCATGCAGTTTGGAAACCAGTGAAAGTAGTTCGTCGGAGCAGTTGTCATGAAAATACTTGTAGAAAAGATAGAGGGAAGCCATAGCACGTCTGTGAGAAAGTGACTGTAGACTAGATGCCAGATCAGAACCTCTCACATTGCATATCATATCCGTCTCTGGACTTTGGCGAGGACCTCAAGATGAAGAGAGGGGGCACCAAACCATATATGGCAACAGTATGCAATGCAAGGACGAATAGTTGATTTCTCCTCATCTTTAATGGTAATATTAACCCTTTCCTTATAAGGAAACATTCGCATTCATCAATCGAATAGCCACCGTCAGTGGAAATTTAAAAATCTGTCTCTTAAAAGAATTTTCAGAAAAATCAGTCAGTCAGTTATGTGTCATGCGTGATACACGCTTAGACGATCATGTATCTTTCGATACATGACTGACGAGGCAGATTTTTTCCCGTAGTAGGTTGCCATTTCTTTCTGCGGTAGACCAGTTGCCATCCAAGGCTATAGAACTAGGTCTATCCTGCTATTTACCCATAGCTGGGGAGGGGGAGAAGAAGAGGATTCATACCTTTCCCAATGTTATTACGACGCTAGTGAATGTAATGGATTTGACTGGAATTCGAACTCGGCTCCCCGTTCCTCAGGAAAATAGGTTTCTCTAATCTACTTACAGTTATCTCTTTTCCCGTATTGTTGTGTGTTTCCTTCCTAACCTTTTGTTTGAAGTTGTGTTGAACGTCAATGTCTTGATTATGTCATCATTTTCTGTTCGAGCTATAGGTGTTGTAACGTGGCTACGAATAAAAATAACATCCATAATGATCTGCATGTGAGCATTAGCTATTGTATGGCACACGGCCATTGCATTGAAGCGCCCAGTGATGTTCGAATTCCCTAACCAGAAGTAATGATCGGCGAGATGAGCTTATTTATCATTATTGATCAAATAAATAATCTTCTAAAATCCTTGCCTTCAGTTCATCTTTTGTGTTATGATGAATTTGCTTGATCTCTCACTCAACTTCGCTCCATATATAATAATCAAGGAGCTTGCAGTCTGTGGAATTAGATGGTCAGATGTAAGAGGTGTTGTGGTCGCAGAAATTGTCTGACAACCGTGACTGGGTTCTCCTGCTTGTATGGTATGGTGCAGAATCCTGTTGCCAGACATAGTGTCATCCAGCAGTCACCCTCTTGACCCAGGTGAACAATATCACACACACACACACACACACACACACACACACACACACACACACACACACACACACACACAATTACCCCTCCTAAATTACGTAAAAATGAAAATAACACCGAAATATCATTTTAACAGATATATTTACTAAAATTACACTAAAATATGTTGATTTAGGAAAGATTGAATTTATTCAATAAAATCGCCATTGGCTTCAACTACGTCCTCATGACAACTTCGGAATCTCCTGCAACTCTTCTCGACGGTCTCCTTTAAGTTGGCGAATGCGGCCATAATCCTTGCCTTCAGTTTTGTTGGTCTCCCGTTCATCTACGCCACACACATAACCAAGGGGTGTGCAGTCTGGGGAGTTAAGTGGCCAGATGTAAGGGGTGATATGGTCACAGAAATTGTCTGACAGCAATGACTCGGTTTGGTGCAGAATTCAGTTGCCAGAAATAGGTTCTTCCAGCAGTCACTCTTTTTTTCAAAGACAGCACTACTTCCTCCTGTTGAGTCTAATGGCCTCACATGAGGTTATTTAAAGCCATAAAATATTTTTAGATTGTAAATTTTTTTGAGATAATAATGATTTAGTGATACAAGATGGATCACAATTAAGAAGAGTGATTTCTGGGTAAAGAAGAGATGGATTCATGCCTTTCCCAATGGTATTTGAGCATAAGTGAATATAACGAACGTAACGAGAATTCGAACCTGGCTCTTCAATTTCCAATTCTGAGCCGTTATCCATTACACCATCCGCACATCCAAATTCATAGCATCTGGTATTCCCAAACGGTAACCTATCTAGACTCGACGTTGCTTAACCGGTGTTTCAACGTGATATGGCCGTAAGCTATACCACCTGTATATCCAAGCTTACATCACGTGGTCTTCCCAAACGGTTACCCAACTTGGTACTGACCAGGCTCGATGTTGCTTACCTTCGGTGATCGAATGTGAACCGGCCGTTTCAATGTGGTACGGCCGTAAGCAACAAGGAATGAGGTGAAAAAGATTTCTGCGTTTGTAATCAAATGAGAGAGATAAAAAAGAGGCAGAGATCAGATATTGATTTCACTCGTCTCATCTGTAATAATTGGGAGGGAAAGAGTATTGATTGATTGATTCGTTTTTTACGGCTTATCAACCCTTTTCAGGTTATTTAAGCCATAAAATATTTTTAGATTATATATTCATACCTAATTCAAATTTTGATAAACATAAAACAAATTACAATGTGTATATAATGTAGAGAATCAATTCTAAATTACAATCAATATATAAACTGATCCCTCACTTTGTGGCCACGGTAGTTTCTATAAATTTGTATACCAGAGAATGTAAATAAATCTAAAAGACATGCTGGTGTAGCTAATCAATATTTGACTGAATGATTGATTCGTTTTTTACGGCTTATCAACCCCTTGCTGGTTATTTAAAGCCAGAAAATATTTTTAGATTATAGATTCATACCTAATTCAAATTTTGATAAACATAAAAGAAATTATAACGTGTATATAAAGTAGGTGATCAATTCTAAATTACAATGAATATATAAAGTGATCCCACACTTTGTGGTCGAAGTAGTTTCTGTACATTTGTAAACCAGAGAATGTAAATAAATCTGAAAGACATGCCTGTGTAGTTAATCAGCAATTCATTATTTGATTGATTCGATTTTTACGGCTTATCAACCCCTTCCATATTTTTTTACATGGTAAAAATTTTTCGGAGTTGAAATTGATAAAAGCTTAACTAATTAACCCATAGCTGAGGAGGATTCATATCTTTGCGTATTTGCGCGTAAGTGAATATAACCAACCCGACGAGAGTTGGAAACCGACTCTCTGATTAACGATTCCGAAACATTATGCATCAAGTCACCCGTACATACAAACTAGCAGCACATGTTATTCTCAAGCGGTCACCCTTTCAAGGTACTGACCAGGCTCGACGGTGCTTAACTTCCGATAATCGTACGACATAGCACCCGCACACCCAAGCTTACAGCACATAAAATTCTTAGAAAATGGTTTAGAAGAGATAACAAAAAGACAAAATTTATTAAGAGTTACAAGAGATAGGAAATTGTGGAGAGCCTTGAGCGCCAACGACCTGAAAGGACACGGCACATAAAAGACGATGAACATCAAGGATGGGTAAATAAAGTGACATTGTACAACAAAGCTGATTAAATTACCCGGGAGCAAATAGGAGTAAAATCTTTCAGTTTGGTGATAGACAGGAACAAACTGAGACAGACAGAGAGACAGACAGACAGATAGATAGATAGATAGATAGATAGATAGATGGATAGATAGATAGATAGATAGATAAGAAAAGACAGATAAAAAGGGATAGATAGATAGATGCATATATATTATATATATATATATATGTGTGTGTGTGTATATATATATATATATATATATATATATATATAGATAGATAGATAGATAGATAGATAGATAGAGATAGATAGATAGATAGAGAGATAGATAGATAGATAGGAAAAGACTGAGATAAATAGGAACAAACTGAGTTAGATAGATGCATATATATATATATATATATATATATATATATATATATATAGATAGATAGATAGATAGATAAGTAGGAAAAGACTGATATATATATATATATATATATATATATATACAGAAAGAGATAGATAGATAGATAGATAGATAGATAGATAGGAAAAGACTGACATAAAGAACAAACTGAGACAGATAGATAGATAGACAGATAGATAGATAGATAGATAGATAGATAGACAGACAGGCATATATATATATATATATATATATATATATATATATATATAGATAGATAGATAGATAACCTGAAAGAATTAGAGAGATGAGCAGAAAGAAAGAAATAGAGAGAGGGAAAGAGTGAATAAGAGGAAGAGAAAGCGAATTCAACAGAAAAAGAGAAGTAAAAAAGAAGAGAAATCGTTAGAGCTAAGAGAGAACGAGAGAGAGAGGGAGACAGAGAGCGAGACAAAGAGAGAGGGAGAGAGGGGAAAGCAGAGAAGAAAAGGTTAAGTCTGGAGTACATAGGAGAAAAGTGAAAGGGGAAAAGAAAGAGAAAGAGGGAAATCGATAGAGAGTGAGGAAGATAGTGGAAGAAGATACTCTGCATCGAAGGTAGAGGAAGGGGAGAATTGGAGGAAAGAAAAAGAAAGAAAATTATTAAAGACAAAGAAATAGATTTAATGAGAATTATAGGAAGAGAGAGAGGGAGAGTAAAAGTAGAAGAAAACAGAAAGATGAATAAAGTGAAAGAGAGAGGGTAAGAAAAAAGAGAAAGTGAATGGGAGAGAAAAGGCAGTGAGAATAAAAGAAAAATAGGCATACAGAGAGGGATTGAGAGTGAGACTGAGAGAGAGAGAGAGAGAGAGAGAGAGAGAGAAAGAGAGAGAGGGGGCGTGAAAGAGAAAAGGCTGGACTTCATCGGTGCGAAAGCAACTACTAGAGACAGAGATACATAGGAAGGAATAGATAGAGAGGGAGGGAAGAATGATAAGAAGAGAGAAAAGAAGAGATAAAAAGAGGAGAAAGAGGAAGAGGGATATAGATTAGAATGGGAGGGGGCGGGAAATAGCAACAGAAATCGACAGCCAAAGGAAAAGAAGAAATGAGTAAGGAAAAAGAGAGATGGATAGACAGAAAGTGAGACAGCAAGAGAAGAGAAGAGAAAAACAAAAAGTAAAAGAGAAAGGTGGAAACAAAGAGGCAAGATAGGAAGGAAAACAAAACGAAAGGAAAGCTACACAGAGAAAGAGATAGATGGAGAGATAATGAGAAAATCAGAAGAAAGAGAGAGAAAAAGAAAGAAATATTATAAGTAAGAGAGAGAGAGAGAGAGAGAGAGAGAGAGAGAGAGAGAGAGAGAGTGAAAAAGAAGAAAAGAAAAAAAAAGACATGGGAAGAAGGTTAAAAATCGTTTCGTTAAGAAAAATTAGATGGACTCGCATATCACATTCATCAACGGACTTTGACACTGACGCATGCGCATAACTCCCACCAGCCCATTAACAAACACGCGCACGTAATCATTGAAATCTCTATGACATTTTGACGAGTGGATCTTATTGTTTTTTCTGTCATAAGAAAATTCTATGGCTGTCATCTTGGACATAGAAAAAATTGAATTGTAAATGTTAAGAATGAATCAAAATCAAAATATTACAAGAAATAATAATAATAATAATAATAATAATATATGTATATATATATATATATATATATATATATATGAATAAAGACAAAAGGAAACCTTATCTTAGTCGACGCGTTTCGTTATCTGACGTATTTTATCAAGACAAATGTAAGGATTTTATTTTGCAGCAAGTATCTTCTAAACAAAAGTTATAATGTTAGTTTCATGGGGAAATTTTTAAGTTTGAGAGACGCTCATGAATATTGATCAGTCTAACTGAAAAGTAAATTATGGAAGATGTTAAGTGACATAATTTAATGTTTAATAAACGAAAGTGAGTAAATGTTGTTGAATTGTTTTTAATGCAATTAATATTTAAATTATCTTAGTATGGGTTAAATATATGTATTATATATTTTTAAATAAGAGGAAGTTATGAATTTAAACGTTTCTTTTTAATTTTTTAACCTTTTTATAGTCGTGTATGTTGGCTTGGGAAAGGAGTAATTCTTTCAGGAAAGGAGATATTTGAAAAAAGATCCGGGGCGCAGATTTATGTTTTGATAAGATTTGATAGCAGCATTCTCAAGAATTTTCTGTCTAAATAAGTTCCTTTCTCTTTTAATAAGTGCAGTGTTCTTTCAATCAAAGTTGTTGAATACATTTTTATGTATCACTAATGCTTTTGATAATTTTGTGTTCATAGATAAGTTTGTTTTATTCATATTTTCTTTTTACAGATATAGTTGAGTTATATATGAAATTTTGCATCCCCCATATATATATATATATATATATATATATATATATATATATATATATATATATATAAAAATTGATTTGATGTGTACAAGTCAGTTGTATTGACATCCCTATTCTATGGTGCAGAATCTTGATCTCTGTACCGATAACATATCAATCAACGATGCCTTCCACGTGTGTTGACTACACACCATCTGCAACATAAAACATTAGAAACAGTGAAGTTCTAACTAAATGCAATATGACAAGTGTTGAGGGCATCCTCATTAAAATCCAACTCAGGTGGACAGGACATCATTCTCGTATGAGCGATAGCAGACTTCCCCAAAACAAGTCGTTTTTGTTCAGCTTCTAAGAGACAGGTCAGTTAGAAGAACTCTCATGTGTTTCAAAGACAAACTGAAAGACAATCGGAAGCGATGTAGTAATCCTTTTTCTTCCTGGGAAAGCAAAGCGACAAGAGCGAAGGAGATGGCGCCTGTCCTGCATCTCATCTAGAGAAAGGTTTGAGCGAGACCGACTTGAACGTCGGGATCAACTAAAGGAAAAATGTAAAAGAAAACTGGCAGCATGAAGCTACTCTCAGTGGTGGCCATACCTGATCAGCCACTAATGGTTGTGCCGCGCGCAGCAAAGCAGACTTTGCTGCCCACTCGCGGAAACATGAGGAAATTGATCCTCAACCACTTGAGCGAAATCGGTCTGCCCCATGTTTTATCATTGAAAAAGTTTTCAAAACCCATGCAGGCCTTGAGAGACACATGCGTGCTCATGTGTCATCTGCGACGAGAAAGACCTTTTTATATATAAGAGGGTACGGTGGAGTAGGAAAGTAGGAGAGGGTACGGTGGAGTAATGGATAGCAACTCGGATTGAGGAATCGGAGAGCCGAGTTCGAATTCCAAGTGAATCCATTATCTAATACCCTTGGGAAAGGTATTAATCATATTCTCCCTCCAGCTATGGGTAAATAGTAGGATAGATTGGGTTCTATAACCTTGGATGGCAACTGATCTAGGAGAAGGACGACTTTGAATTCAAAACCTACAGAGGACCTGGTTACACAAAAAGTGTAGATGGTTCTGCACAAAGCCTTCACTACTATAATCAAATTAGATGTGCTGGTGTCCGGCTGTCGGTTCCTAGGAACTGAGCTGCTTGACCCTCATACGTCGAATACGACGGGAGAGTCCACCACACACACACACACACACACACACATATATATACATATATATATATATATTAGTGAGTATACGTGCTTGAGAAGTACTACTAAAGAAATATTGCTCTTTGTGGTCAAACTAATAGTGGCACACTATGACTCATAAGGTGGTTTCCTTGATGGAAAAAAGGGATGCAGGTTCGATTCCTATCGGGGGCACAATTTTTCGTTAGTAGGGCTTTTCAAGTTAGGCCGATTGTTATTAATTTCACATTGAAACACCAGTCGTTACCAAGATGGGTGACCGCTGGATCTGTAAGCTTGGATGTGCGGCTGGTGTAATGGATAACGGCTCGGAATTTGAAATCGGAGAGCCGAGTTCCAATTCCAGTTGTGTTCATTATATTCACTTACGCGCAAATACCACTCTTCACCCCACAACTATAGTTTAATTAGTACGACATGCATCCGTAAATTATTATTTTCTGTTGTTTCTGCTATGTATTTAGAGATTTTTGATAAGATACAAAAAATAACAAACAAAAAAAAAAATCGGAAATATTAATGGTCCTAACCTGGCATCTTAGTTTCAGTGACTTTCCCACCACCGTAACGTACCTACCTAACATACTTTCTATAAATTACCACGGAGAGGGGGGTATGATGTTGAAAGACACAATAGCCCTAACGAACTTCGGATAGAAACATCGCTGACGATGTGTACCAAAGCATCCTATAAATGTACTTTACAAAAGATATATATATATATATATATATATATATATATATATATATATATATAAATTTACTTAAACCTTATTTTAAGTGGATATTCGTATTTGGGTAAACGCTTCGTTTATTTATTCAGTAGATTAGAGTTGGACTTCCTATGAACGAAAGTAAAAAGAATCCATGTTATTTAACCAAGAAATGGAAAGATGCAAGCGTCGAAAAAAGAAAGAAAGAAAGAAAGAAGAAAGAAAGACGGGAGTATCGAACGAAGAAAGAAAGAAAGAACCTGAAAGATAGAAGCTTCGAGCGAAGAAAGAAAGAAAGAAAGAAGGAAATAAGGGGGAAAGAAAGAAGGAAAGAAGGAAGGAAAGAAAGAAAGAAAGAAAGAAATAAAGAAGGAAAGAACCGAAAAGATGGAAGCTTTGAGCGAAGAAAGAAAGAAAGAAAGAAAGAAAGAAGGAATGAAACGGAAAGATGGAAGCTTCGAGCGAAGAAAGAAAGAATGAAAAAAAAATATGGAAAGATGGAAGCTTGGAGCAAATAAATAAAGAATCGGAAAGATGAAAGCTTCGATCGATGAAAGAAAGAAATGAAAGAGAAATGAAAGGGATTATTTTCGAAGCATCTAACGAATTGATTAATTACAAGTTATTATCCTAGGATATCATTTTAATTAAGCAGATGAATAAATCTAAAAATGACCCAGATTAATCCAGATCATGTCCTCCTACTGTCATTCAGTTATCAAAAAGAATCCAATCAGATGCAGTTTACTTTTAATATTCTAAATGAAATGCATTATTTTTATATCTGATATCACGGTTGAACATATCACAAGAAGATATGGATTGCAATGGCGTATATAAACCGAAAGAGGCAGGAAAAAAAAAATAGCCGGTTCCTTGTACCATTTCAGCAAGTACCTGACTCCTTGGGCTGTCCTCAACTTTTACAATTGCCAAATCAGGCCTAAAATAGAGTACTTCTGTCATATTTGGACAGGAGTTGCTTCTTTCTTACTTTCCAATCTTGATGGAGTCCAAAAGCGTCTCCGCGTCCTTGAGGGTGACAAATTATTTTCCACCCTGAAACCTATCGCTCACAGACGGGGTGTGGCGAGCTTCTCGCTATTTCCATTGAAAGTGCTCGGACGAACTATATTCCTTGGTTCCATCAGTTTTAACCTTCACGGCTAAGACCCGCCATGCCACTCATATTCTAACATATTACCTTGATTACCTCCCTATTCCTTTGGGGAGTAGTAAGTTTCAATCGAGCAGCTTCTTTTTGCGGACCACTGCTCTGTGGAAGCGACTCCCAAGAGGATATTTTCCCGATCACTACTGTGACGGTTACACACCTGGCCCAGGGTCGGATCCTTTGGTTACGGCGCCAACGGTGACGTCGCTCCTCCTGGTCGCTCCTCCTGGGTCCAAGCGTGCCGCTCCAACCCCTTGGTCAGATGATCACCAGCCTCGCCTTTCCCGACTCGCTTCCAATACCTGGTCACTAAAGAAACTGTACCGATCTCCGGTCTGTCTACCCACGCTGTGTTTAGATCTTAGACAAACGGGACCAGCAGGATTGGGGCCGATACAAGTTGAGTCCGACGGGGGTGGCAAAACACAAATAAAAGAGAAAATAAACTCACGAGACAAAAAAGATTGCTGATGAAAAAAATGGGTAACAACCTTTATATCTTAATGTCCGCTACATAAAAACAAAATTGTTCTCATTTCCCCAACCCGCTCTGTGGACTATGGCAACAAGCTTCTATCACACAACCTAAAGATTTCGAATTGCCTACTCTTTAGAATTGTGTATGTCGGAGTGTGGTTTGGTTCGACACTGGGGCTAATTTCTATCGATCATTCGCAGTTGATTCTTCTCTTCGACTTGAGTTGTATTTCTTCTTCTTCGTCGACTTAGGCTGGAAGTTCTCTTGTCTTCGACTTGGGCTGGAAGTTCTCTTGTCTTCGACTTGGGTTGTATTTCTTCTTCTTCGTCGACTTAGGCTGGAAGTTCTCTTGTCTTCGACTTGGGCTGGAAGGATCTCTTGCCGCAACTCAGCCGCAACTCTCTGTCGTCCGAGGTGATCTCTTCTCGCTGCCGTCCGGGGCTGAACTGCCTTTTGTCGATTGGGGCCCTGCTTTTATTGACGCCGCAGCAAACCGGGGTGGGTCTGTCGGCGTCAGGGTTTTCTCGATAATTCCAAAGTCGCATTATTTTTTGATTTCTCATTATCGCTATTGTTTTCACCCTACTTCCTCACAGTGCCTTTTGTGGGGAGGTGCACACCCATCTCTCTTAGTCTCTCGTATGTCAGGTGACCGTTTTCGACCAATGGTTCCTGATCGGGCATTTCTTTCTCTTCTTTTCTGCAGATCACGTGACCGTTTCCGACCAATTGTTATTGATCGAGCATCCTTTCTCCTCCTTTCGGGCGTGGTTACATCGTTCTTGTTTTTAAAAAAACAAAATCCATTTTTTGCTTTTTCTGCACGTACGAAAAATGACAATCTTGGCTTTCTCTCACCTGGGCTCTGTCAACCAGCCCGCCGCTAATTAGTTGTGACTTCAGGAAAGAATATTGTCGCCATCTGTGATCTGAGACAATCGTTTTTTTTCCACCTCTTGTTTTTTGTCAGACCCGGCAGTCAGAAAATCTTAATTTATCTGAATTGAAAACATCTTTCACTCGTCAATGTGGGGGTTCTAATTTTTAACAGGTCAGAATCTGTATACCGTTCCACAAGTCGACCTATCTCCTCATCTTCTTCGGAGTCTTCCTCCGTCTCCATTCCTTCCGTTCAACCAGAGTTACCTTCCTTTTCCTTGTCTTCTTAGGCCTCAGCTCGCTCATTTCCAGGTTAGCTATTTCAGCCTTCTTCAGATCATTGGCATGAACCCTCCTCGCTCGTCCTGCCACTTGATCCCATATTACATATGATACTGGGCCTGTCTGCTCTACTATCCGGTAGTACGGTTCCCATCTCTGGTCCAGTTTTCCTTCTCTCTGGTGGATTTTATAGTAGACAGGGTCTCCAACCTTCAATTCTACCACCTTTCTTTCAGCATTCACCCTCTCATTTCTTTTCTTCTGGGCCCTCTTTATTCTTCTTCTGGCCTGTACGAATATCTTATGTTGCTGTTCCAGCAATAGTTGATGATGATCTTCTCCCATATACCTTCTTCGGGGCTTCAGTAGGTTATCTACAGGCAGGACCACGTCTCTGCCAAACAACAAAAAATAAGGAGAAAATCTGGAGGTTTCGTTTATCGTAAACCTCACGGCCGCCAGAGCCTGCGTCAAATACAAGTCCCAATTTCCAATGTTTTCTCTGACCAACTTGGCCAATACATCTCCCAAGGTTCTATGAAACCTTTCCACTTTAGCATTTCCTGGGGGTGATATGGGGATGTTTTTATGTGCTCTACATTCAAACCTGTCAAAACCTCTCTCATGATGCTGTTCACATTCTCCGTGCCATTATCTGTTACCAACTGCACAGGGGCACCATACCTAGGGAAGATTTCGCTTATTATCAACCCGGCCACAGTTCGGCCTTCTTGTCTGGTACTGCAAATGCTTCAGGCCAATTTGTTAGCCAATCGACAAAACTCACTATATAGTTGTTTCCTTGTGCAGTTTCCCCATATGGTCCTGATACATCCATACTCACTTTCTCGAAGGGGAAGTTTGGTACGTCTGTTTCCTCCAAGGGTGCCATTTCCTGCCTTCTGCTCTGCGACTGGCACACTACACAACTTCGAACATAGTTAGTGACTTCTCCGTACAGTTTGGGCCAATAGTACTTTCTTCCCTATGAGATCACATGTCCTATCAATTCCCATGTGACCCAACCTTTCGTGGCACTGTTCAATATCTCTGGTCTTAAACTTTTGGGCACATACAACTTGGGTTTGACTTCTTCATCCCTTCCTGAGAGATAATACAGCCTTTCCTCTATTATGGCATACTTGGTGGTCTCTCCTGCCTTTACCTTCTCTCTCAGAGCAGCTATTTCACTGTCTGCTTGCTCCTTTTCAATTCCTTCTGTCCAGTAGGGATCGGTTTATTATCTGGGCGTCCCTTCTTCGTCCGACTCTAATATAGGGCGATCTTTTAGCTTATTAGAGTTAATTACTCCTATTCTATAGGCTTTATCATCTACTCCCTGTTCTACCCTTACAGATCTTTCTTCCAGTTGTTTCGGTATTCTTGAGAGTAAATCTGCGCACGTGTTTTCCTTTCCTGCCAAATACTCTATCTTACAGTGGTAGCCACTTAACAAAGTGCCCACTGTTGAATTTTTATTATTTGTCCACTCTGCCTGCAATAGGTACTGCAGAGGCTTGTGGTCTGTCTTTATAGTGAAGACCGCACCATTTAAATAGTAGTCCAGTTTTTGGAGAGCATACATGATAGCATATGCTTCCCTCTCTATTACTGGCCACCTCTGTTGTGTCTCTGAGAGCTTGTGGGAGAGGAAGTATATCAGTACTTCCTCTGGTATGCCTGGCACTGGTCCTTCCTTATCAGGACACGGCTGGGTAAGTACTGCTCCTACACACTGCTCACTGGCATCCGTGTATAATATCATGGGCTTGCTGAGGTCTGGGTACGTCAGCAGTGGGACGGTTGTCAACTGTTCCTTTAGCGAATCAAATGCTCGTTGATAGTCCTCTGTCCACTTGAACCTAGCGTATTTCTTCGTCAGGGCCACTAGCGGTATGGCAATTCTTGAAAATGCCGGGACAGAAGCGTCGGTAGTAACCTATAGCTCCTATAAAACCTCTTACCTGCCTCACTGTCTTAGGCTCTGGCATTTCCCCTTATGACCTTTACCTTATCCATGTCCGGGTTTAATACCGTCTCCGTTTATGACGAAGCCTAAATACCTAGTTTCTTCCCTCAGAAACTGACACTTTGACAATTTCAATTTTAATCCGTGCTTCCTCAACCTTCCCAACACCTGTCTTAAATGAAAAAAAGTGTTGTTCCACTGTCTCCGAAAATATCAAGATATCGTCTAAATACGCCATGGCAAAGCTCTCGTATCCTCCTAACACTATTGACATTAGCTGTTGGAAGACTCCCGGGGCATTAGCTAAACCGAATGGCATCACTCTGAACTGAAACAGTCCCAGGTGACACGCGAATGCGGCCTTCTCCTTGTCAGCCTCATCCAGGGCTACCTGCCAATACCGGACCTCAAGTCCAACGTAGAAAGTACTTTGCCTTCCCTAATAATGCCAAAATGTCGTATATCAATGGCAATGGCACCGCCAACAGCTTCGAAATAGAATTCAGCTTTCTAAAATCCACACAGAAACGGTGGCCGCCATCTTTCTTACCTACTATTACTATTGGGAAGCTCCAGGAGAGATCGATCTTTCGATCATCCCAGCTTCAACATTTCCTCTACTGCCTCTTCTACAAGGGGTCTTTTATGTATAGGTGTTCGGTAGGGTTTTAATTTCACAGGGGGTGGTCTCCGGTGTCGATTTTCATTTCGACTGTGTGGGTCTGACCTAGTTCCTTATCTGACTGGGCTACCACATCTCGATTGTTCCTTAACAGACCCCCCACTCTGGTTCTAAATTGATCCGGTGCTAATATATCCTCATCTAAGATTCCTTTTGTTTGCTCTACTAGCTTCCTTCGTTCCTCCTCGAATCTCACCCGATTCAGAGTTCGTAGGGGAAGTGCTCTTCCTATCTTCTCCCCTCTCCTAACCTTTATAGTCTTTTTGGGCCTGGTTCACCATCATTATGGGCACCAACTCGGCTGCCTCCACTACCGTTTCGCACAGGGTTACCTCGCTAT